CGAGGACGGCCTAAATATAGCTGAGGTCAAGGAGGGGCCACATCATCATCAGGAATATGGCTCGAGACTCAGGAATCGGAAAGTGTCTCGAGAGTCAGGAATAGGGAAGTATCTCGAGAGTCAGGAATAGGGAAGTGTCTCGAGAGTCAGGAATGTGGTCTGCAGGTCAGAAATCTGGCAAGAATTGGGGGATTCCTGACACTTGCCTCATTCTCAAGCAAGCATCTTGAAACGTTTTAGATTGTGAAATTATCACAAGACAATTCAAGGGATTGTGAGTTTTTATTTTATGTATTACCCTTACACCTTCTGATGTTAAAATCCCTTTCAAGATGTCCTGAAGACAATTCCCAGTTTGTTTGGGTTATTGCTTAACTATTTCTAAAGCCCAAGGCCAAACTTTCAACTGTGTTGGCATTTACCTCCCCCAACTTGTTTTCACACATGGTCAAATTTATGTTGCTCTGTCAAGGTGCAGATCACTTGAACAACTTCATGTTCAAGTGCTCGCAACCCCCCTTCAAGGCAATCTTACACCACATGATCAACACTTTTACATTGTGTATATAGTCTATGTTGAAATTCTTAAAGCCATAACCAAAATGGCACACCACCCAAGGCACACCAGTCAGTGCTATAGCTTTGTTGTGGCGTGCACTTGAAACTCACAACTGCAAGTCAAAGGTGGCTTAGTAAATAACTTTGTGGAATTATGGTTAGATTTGGAATTATGCCATATATTTATCAATCTAAATGTGCTATTGTAGCGCATGTGATCATGGGATGAGATTTGGATATACTGTCACCGTGGATCCTTGGAACCTTGGGAGATAAATAGGGATAAAATAGCCACTAAGGGCTCTCTCATCAAGCAATTGCCCCTTTTCTAATTGGCTTAAGGGGAGAGAGATAAGGTGCGCTATAGTTGGTATCGGAGCAAATGGCACGGGTTCGATTCCCATTAATTAGTGGCTACTTAAAAGTATAATATACCCTTGAGCAAGGTATATTCCTACCCTTAAATTTGAAATCGTATGTATTGGGCATCCATGCGTACGTCCTTCCTCTTGTGTGGAGTATCCAAAGACGAAGGTATCCATCGTGGGACTGCGGTACGGGTAGATGACTAGTTGCCTCACATGGAATAGTTAGTCTACACAATGGAAGGATTGGTAGATTGAGTGCGGAAATGGAGGTGTTGGTTCCCCTTAGCTCAGTAGGGGTTGTTAGTCAATAGTCAATGAGGACATTGACATCTCTGAAGGGGGGGTGAGTGTAGCGCATGTGATCATGGGATGAGATTTGGATATACTGTCACCGTAGATCTTTGAAACCTTGGGAGATAAATGGGGATAAAATAGCCACTAAGGGCTCTCTCATCAAGCAATTACCCCTTTTCTAGTTGGCTTAAGGGGAGAGAGATAAGGTGCGCTACAGTTGTTATTGAGTTGCTAATGGTAGAGGTATAATTTTCATCCTGTTGCTTCCTGAGTGCAACTCTCATTGTAGCATAATGGTTTCTGGCTCATCCAAGGAGGAATCTCTTTAGTGGGCTGTGGAGCAAGTAGCAACATCTGAACCAAAGATGGACTTGGAAGTATTCTTTGGGCTCTTTGCATTCAAAATAGAGGAATGCAACTAAACAGTGATTTAATCTAGCTTATGTAATGCTCATGAGCAGAGTTCATAAATTCCAGCATAGGAAATCTGGATTTGAGGAGTTTAGACAACAATCAAGTATGGTAAATGCATTACTATTTTATGATTACAGATAACATGTTTGGTCAAGAGAATGTCTTTCAATTGTGGAGTTGATCAAACAGCAAACATAGCTAAGCTCAGCAAACCTCGTGAAATGGCATCAAATTTGCCAACCACCCAACATTTGCTAGGCAATTGCTAGTATTTGTATAGAACTTTAACTCCATAATATTTATAAGTATAAGCTCTAATAATCTATTGATCCAACAACTGTCGTTGGTTGAATGGTGGTGAGGTCTTTGTAGAGTTAAGTTCGAGGTAGAATACAGCACAACAAACAACATCACAAATCTGCCAACATCAATATATTTCCAGCTAGCGGCAAGTCTCTGCGTGTTCCTTTTTAAACATTGCAAGTTGCATCCATTTCCTGAGTAGAAATTCCACAATGTTTCAAAGCTGCTTTCAAGTATTTATCTCATACCGAAGCAACTCTTCTTCTTCCTTCTTCAATGAACAATTGCAAGCAGTGCTACAGAACGGAGCTGCTCCATCATAACAATGATAGCATGGTCTGACTAGCTGCTTCTTTGAAATGTTTGACTCTGATTGCTACACAAGTGTGCTTTACTATGTTCTGATATCTGATAGTGTTATTACTTTTTAAATGCATGTTCAAATTTCTTTATATTTGCAGTTGAGTACTGGCTGTGTATTGATACCTCCCCACGTCCTGTAAACTCTGTATTATTATATAATTTAAACTGTTTAGGTGTTACATATCACTCACATGTACACTTACCATTCTGGAAAAAGTGACAACTGTTGACTGTGATTATGCCTTTCCTTTGCTGAGAAAGATCTCTAGTTGCATCATGGCAATTGATACACATTCTAATGAATTTTATGATAATTACTTTCTCAGGTTTAGTATGCCCAAAAGCATACAACCTCCATACTCTGTCAACTTATTTTCCTTATTTCCACATCTCAAATCTGGCCAAAATTCATGTACTTTGCCATTATCATCACTCCAGAAACTTACTCCTTTGTTTTTCAATGCCTTTTGTTCTTTCCTTTCACGTTCTGTCCCTTGCTTTTCTTTGAACATACTTAATGTTTCATAAATATCATGCATCATAACATAAGCAGATGCATCAGTTTTATCAGCTTTTACAGTAACTTTAAATGCTAACTGAGCCACTTTAAAATTCTCAGAATTTGTGTGTTCCCTACAAATAGTGCCTCCCAAGCCGAAAACATTTTTTCAATATTTTTGAATGAGATGTTATAAATAAACCATTTTGCTTCTTCCATGTGATTATTTTGAGCTAACATATTTACCATACAAATATAGTGTTTATCATTGGAAATTATTTTATATTTAGACATGCATTTAAAATATATTTTACCCTTCTCAACTAATTTTCTTTATAGCAGCAAGCAGTAAGTAAATAAATAAATGTTAGGCATGCACAAGATTGTGTGCCTTGCCTAAGGGTAGCATATTCATCAGACAATTTCTCAAATGGGGTTGGAACAAGATTACCACATTGGGACTACCCTTATAAATCTTTATGGTAAATGTGGTAAAATATATGTAGCATTGGAGTTATTCAATAATTTACATTGTCCTAGTACAGTTGAATGGACTGCCTTAATTGCAGGGTATAGTTGCTCTGGAAATGTATCTCAAACATTTAGATTATTTTGGGAGATGTTAAATACTGATAAAAAACTTGTGAATGATGTAACTTTTATTAATATCATCCAGGTATGTAGTCATGCAGGGATGGTAAACAAAGCAATAATGTATTTTAAATTAATTTTTCAATATGGGACTATTATGCATTATAATTGTATGGTAGATATTTTAGGTGGAGCTAATCGTATGTATTTATAATTTATAATATGTCATTTGATCTTATTATCTCATGGATGACACAATTAAGCGGCTGAATCCAGGATATTATGGCGGGCTCATGAGAATGCAGCTCGAGAAAACTTTGTCCATGGGGGCGCGCGAGGTGATCTTGGACAAGAAGAGCTACGTGAGAGATTTCTAGAGATTCTGGATTCCTATGCTGGGAGGGGCAGTTTAGAGGTACGCAAGAATCTTAGATTTTTTCTCTTATTTTCTAGTTTCTTTTGATTTGCTATGTTCTTCGTGGCTGTTCTTCCAGCTTTGCTTATGAGTTTCATGCTTTTCTTGCCATCAAACTTTGGCGTTGTTGGTCGGGATTTCTTTTGCTTTTCTCATTGTTTCCGTGCTTGTATCTGTCATGCCTGATCAAGTCTGATCTTGTCGGTGACATTCTTTATTGTTTCGTCCTCTCCATCCATCGTGTTCTTATATCACGATTGTGCCAGGTTTTTACATGGCTCACGAACAATCCAATGGTCCTACTATCGGCCAAAAGACCGCAGCTCGAGCAGCTCTACGTGACGATGATCTCTTACGCCGGAGTCATTGGGAGCCTGAGGCTAGCACGAATCTGGTTCGACGATCTCAAAGGAAAGGGGCTCAAGCAATCAACGAGGTGCTGCAACGCTCTCATCCTCGCCTACGCCAAGAAAGGTGATGCTCAAACCGCACTCTCCATCCTCGAACAGATGAAAGCCTTCCGCAAGGGGTGCTCGCCAAATGCAGTCACGTACTACATCCTCATCGCCATGTTTGCGAGGCTGGGCGACTCGCCAGGCCTCGCAAATCTCCTGGGCAACAGCGAGTGCTCAAGCTTTCATCCCACACCATGACTTACAACACTCTCCTCTGCGGCTACTTGAAGATGGGAATGCCAGAGGATTTTGACAAGACACACGGGGAAATGGTGGAGGAGGAGGAGGAACTTAGTGAGGAGAGCTACAACGCATTGCTCGTTGGATACTCACGGCTGGATCGTCTCGACGAGCTCCAGCACTGTGTGGGGGAGATGCTAGCCAGGGAGATGAGTCTGGCATCGCTGGTGGTGGCGGAAGAGATTGCCAAGGCTTACAGAAGAAATCAATGGGTGGAAGGATTGGACACGGTGATCCAGCTCGAGGAAAAGAGTCCCGGGATTTCTCCAACGTTCCAAAGCTTTGTAAATGCTTGTGATGATGATTTAAATAAAAAGGAGGCGCTTGTTTCAAGATAAGTTTTTACGTTTTTTTCACTACAATCCATGTGATGAACTTTAAATACTATTTTGTGTGGTCGAGCAGGCCGGCATGGCTGCGCGTTGAGGATGCTGATGTAGGTGATGCTGTCGGGCTGGACACCCTCGAGGTGCATGTCGTGGTGGAGGAGGATGGCATATTCAGCGTGGCCGTGGTGGGTGTATCCCGCCAAAAGGGAACTCCACGTCACCATGTCGTGGGCTCTCATGCGGTGGACGGCAGTGGCAGCATCTCCCATGCTGCTGCAGCACGTTGCCCAGGGTGACGTTGGTCATGGATCCTTCAAGAATCTCTGGATTCGCGGCACACAGCTCGGTGTGTATGTGCTGCCCCTCAGCAAGCTTGCCCAGGCCGGCACACAGGAGAATGACGGCCATGATGCAATTGGGATTTAGAATGGAGTCCGAGATGCTGGAGGCCAAGGTGTTAGTGGAGTCCGAGCTCTTCACACTTTTTGTGTACAAACTAGAGTCCGAGCTCGCAGAGACCAAGCTCCTGAAGCCTGACTCCATGGTCCTTGAGTTCCCAGCCTTCATGTCCAAGAACAATGCGATCACTTCCTCATCGTATCTGTGCTGCACATAAGATCCCACCATCACATTCCAGGACACCAAGTTCTTCCTCTCGGTCCCATCAAACACCTGCCTTGCCTCCTCCAGGCTGCCGCACTGCGCGTACATGTTGATGAGGGCATTCTGGATCTGGATCTTGAGTATGAAGCTGGAGGAAGCAACACAAGCGTGGAGGTTTCTCACAAGGCCGACGTCCCTGACCAGTGATTCAGCGTCGATTACATTGAGCAGCACCATGCTGTCCGGCTGGATCAACTGCCCAACCATCTTGTCGTAGACCTCGAGAGCTTTGGATCCATTGCCATAAAAGGTGTAAGCAGTGAGCATAAGGTGGCCATCCAGGACACAACGTTCTTGCCTGGGATTCTCTGAAAAACCCTCTTGGCTGCCTCTAGATCTCCACACTTGGCGTAGGCAGTGACAAGTGAGTTCTCCACACTCAAATCTGGAGGAGAGTGCACTGCAGCAAGCTCCAACTGCAAGTGGATCCGCTTGCACGATCACAAGCACTTGGTGCTTGAGCAGGCACTTTGAACTCCTAGAAAGCTCATGTCATCGGGCTTGATCCCTTCCAAGTTCATGCCGTGGAAGAGGCCCAGCACTGCACAAGACTGTGTGCTCACAGAAAGAAAGTACTACTATTACCTTTCCTTCAAGGATTCCAATTTATTGCTATAATTGCAATGATTTGCGTTCCAAAATGCTTCCAGAACCTAAACCTTCTATATGCCATGTGTCACATGCTATGTCAAGTTTTAGGGCTTTGTGTAAACCATAAAATTTTCCTTTCCAATTTGCCAGCTTACCTTATCTATCTGACCAACACTACCTTGGACTTAGTTAAGTTCCCTTGTCAAAGTTCCTACCTATTGTACCAGCTCTTACTTGGTCCTACTTGGTTTCAACTATTCACTGTACGAGCAACAGAGCATTAACCATCCATCCATGGCTTCCCAAATCTCTCCCAATCAACCTCTATAAGTTAGACTAAATTTAAAGTTCAACTACATTCCTTACAGACAAAAGTAGCCAAACGCACCAAGCTTCTAGGTTTTTAACATCCCTTGGTACAACAAAACTTGATCATGGGACCCTCTAAATCCCAAGCCTTAGGTGCAACACTTGCTTCGGGACACCAAGGGGAAACACCATGGCCTAACGGCCCGGTATGGGTACCTGTACTCCCCCACTTCCATCCTGAGGGGAAAGCCCAAGCCCCTAGGAAGGGTGAGGACTAATGAGCCACAAGGTACTTAAATGGGGCATTACTCCACATAAGCCAAGAGCACCGCAATTGATTTCCCTTCCAAGAGTGGGAGCTACTCTTGAACACTTCCTTAGGTGGCCCCTCCGGCACCACCCGAGTCCATGCTCACTCCCACCCAAGGCCCCTTGGCCCTAGTCACAACCTCAAATCAGTTTGGAAGCACCACTAGAGAGTTCCTTCAAGATTGATTCCTAGACCTCACTATCCCTATTATACTTTTGGAACCCCCTACAGCCCCTCCCTCTGTTGCTGGGAGACACACGCTTTGATATGGAGTCTGGTACTATTTCAACATACTGGTGGCCTAATGCAAGGATATGAGTGCTCCATAAACTAACATGGTGTGAAATTTAAATTTAGACCAAAGCTAGATACAAAACAAGGATAGGCATGTAAGTGGGAGCTAGACTATGCCTCAGGTTAGTCAGCCATACCCAACTTACCCACTATCCCTATTATACATTTGGAACCACCTATAGCCCCCCCTCCTTGAGGAACACACACTTTAGGTTTTCACCCTTATTTATCTTTAGTACTAGGAGTTGGTCTGTATGACTAACTCAAAATTTATTAAATATAGAATGGTGCTAAACTACAAATTTGGACATAAAACCAACACAATTATATTTAGGACAATCTCTACATTCCGTAGATATACCAAATTAGCAAACCTAGACAATTTTCATAAATAGCAATTGAGACCGAATAGAACTAACATAAGGTGCATGATAGCGAAAAGAGCCATGGGAATCATGGGAAAGAATCCAAATGGCAAAGTTAGGCCAAGAACACTAATGTGTTAGGTGTTAACGCCGATGGAAACTAAGACTACTTAAGAATGAGTAGTAAGATTGAGATAGAGAAGGTGTCTTTAATAGGTTTAATGAGAACTAAATTGATAAAAGGAAAGAACCACCATAAATGGTCGAATGAGTCTCTAAGTTGGAGAGATTATGCTCCTTAGAGGATGGGTAAGGCATGGTGAGCTTTCAATATCAAACTATTCATGAATATTGGTGAGAGGCCAAGGATGGAAAGGGTAATACAAATTGTTCACCATGACCCCGAGGGCATCCCCCACACTAAGTGCATCCCCTGCTTGGTAGTGTGCCCAAGTTAGTCTCCTTACTAAGAGTCTATGACCACCAAAAAATGAGTATCCTCATATTCCAAACCATCACCTCGCCCTAGTGAGTTGGGACTCAAACCCAAGCATTAGAGGGTCAGGACTTGAACCCAACCTCCGTATATGCATCTACGGCAACATCACATAGGATGCCTGGCGTGAATCCCCACACCAGTACACTAACTTATATTTAAAATGCGCTATAGATCATAGCTTAGGAACATAGTTCCTCCACACTGCCAAGTCCTCTTACTTGATAAGTCTGTGATTATGTATGAACTCCTCCATGCTTGGCCCCATGGGCCACCCCTTTTAAAGTTAGCACCTTCAACTAGGGGATTTGTTCCCCAGACTTGCCACTCTTGCTTAGCAAGTCATCCGACCAACGTAATATGGTTTCATATATAAGCATGAAAGTCCTTGACCATTGACTTTCATTCAAAACCATCCCTTTGAACACTTGAGGACTACTTCCCTAACGTTAATAGCATTGCTTCATGGCAAGTTTCAAGACCACACTTCTATTGTGCCATTTTGATTTTGCATGTTCTATGAATCATTTACCCTTAGCTTTCTAGGTACTAAGTTACCTAGAATTGTCTTTGGGAACCTTGGAGGAACTCTATCTCTTAGTTTGCTAAGGCCTCTCTTTTCACAAGTTTTTTAATTGTCATATGGTCAAACATGGACAATTAGACTCTCCATGTATGAACTTGTGCACAATGTGGTGGATGGAAAAGGGCCAGTAAGGAAACGACTTTGGGACCTTGAGAACAGTATAAGGGTTTCCTTAGAGAGTGAGGATGTGATCCAGATGAGCGTTTGACTTAGCAAACTGGCTAATATAGTTGTGGTAAACAACTATAGTTGGGATCACGGGAAAGATAAAGACTCCAAAATAATAAACGAGTCAAAAGATTATCCTTATATAGTTGAGATTGGTCCCTAGTGAATGATGGATAGAAGGTGCTATCCAAACATCCAAGGTTGCGGAGACGGGAAAAAACCATTTACCTAAATTGGACAGCCAAAAATAAAATTTTGGCAAGGCTAGTGATAGGCATATAAAGGCCCATAAGTAGCAATGTTAATCCCGGTGTGTGGGATTATAAGGTGAGCATACCCAAATTGAGGAACCACTCCCTAGGCTATCGGGTAGGTTCATCCCTAAGAATACTTACTAAGGCATGGTAAAAAGTGCAAAGCTATTCTCCTAGTCTAGAGGAGAATAACCGAAGGAAAGATATGAAGCCAAAGCAAGTAGTAAAGGGATAGAACCAAACCATAAGAATTGAAGAGCATAATCAAATATGGTTATGCTAGTTGGGAGTGGAGAATCAAGTGGGTGCTCAAGCATGTTGTTATTAGCAACCGTGATGCCATGAACTTGAGTGGAGAGCCATGTCCTCCTGACATACTACTCCTTGAGGATAGGTCCATACCTAGGACCTTCCAATACCAATCCAAGTGGTGATATACTTGGCCACTAATAAAAGTCGGACTAAGGAATAGCTTCGATACCAAATTGTGAGTAACTAATTTTTCCATTCTACTTTAGTCACTTAACCACACCTCCAACTAGTTGGAGGAGTCTCATTCACAATCTCCATAAGTCCAATTTAGGACTTGGGGCTTGCTAGCCCCCAGGATGGCATCCATGTTGCTCAACCTTTACACTTGGTCCAAGTGCTCCATATGTCCGATCCTATGACCAACACCCCAAAGTACCACTAACATACTAGCTCGTTACGCTAAGGCCATGTCCATTCACCTTGGTCACACCGGTGGTCCAACACCACCAGCATCACAGTCCCATCTCTCAAAGACTAGGTCATCAGTCTATGAGTGGTCATCCCAAATCCATTCCTTAGCATCCTTAGGATGTTCGCAGACATGAGGAATAGCCTTCCCCAATATCCCTTTTACAGTCCCCACCAAGTCCCATTTCGGTCCATAGCCGTGTTTGCCAACACTGCTACTGAGATAGGGCCCACAAACCCGACCACTAAGTCCCACTGTCCTCTAGGACTTCCTCACCATAGGACTGCATCCTTAGTCACCACACCAGAGGACTACTTCTTTTCCTTTCCACAGTTTGGGACTTTGGGATAACATCTCCAAACACTATGGCCATATATGAGCCTCTTGGGTACTCTCCCCACCTTTCACCTTTGGGTGATCTAGCCATGGGCTTAGAGCGAGGTTCCATTGAGGTATCCAAGTAGGTAGTGCCACCCACACTTGGACTAGGAGCATCGACCATTTGATCTCCCAGGGGAACTAGAGCTGGCTCTTGAACACTTCACCAAGTTACCATGCTTGTCGGTCAGTATTCACTCTAGCTTTGGTTTCCCAGTGGTC